CTCATACACCAAAGAAGTCTATAAACAGGCAGTTAACTTCTGACTTCAAACTGCCATGACCCCACTGTATGTCATATTCGACTACTTCCACAGTACTCACCTCACCTTTTTTTCTACCTTCGTCTTTGGAACACTCTTCTGTTCACCCTCCCCCTCTCGATTTCTTTTCACTTTGATGTTCCCTCCCTCTGTGAAGCCTTGAGCCAACTAAAGGGCTAATGATGACCATCAATACGCCTGCATTTGATATAAACATAATAATTAACCAGTCAAGAAGGCCTTGACATATCCGCTAAGCCCACCTCTAAATTATGTTCCTCTAAAGCCTCTGGTGCATTTACAGAATGAAATTTACCGTTTGATAGTAACTGAACATACGAATTGTTAAAGTATCTCACTAATTTGAATTTACAAATACGTCAAAATGTTTATGGTACACACATACTTTTATAAGAAGCATATTTCATTTTGTAATAAACAAATGCTCTAAAATTTGATTTTCATAACTTGATCACTAGATTTCCGGGTGAGTTCATGCCCACGTACTTGTATCTAGCAAATGATTGGTGATGCCACTTGGATTTAATTGTCCTGTATTACAGCTTTGAGTCATTTAATTTGCTATAGCTTTCTCTTGTATTAACCAATTGAGGAATTTCGAAAAAAATGGATTTTGAGGGAATTTACTTTGCGCGCCTATTCTTGCAGTAACAAGAGAAGGAGCTGAATTTCGTTTGACAAAATGACAACTGCAATAGCAATTACTGACACAAAGTAGAAGACAGTAGAGTTGAAGAGAATGTTAAGGAGGGACAAAAAGTCCCTTTTCACTTGACAGAAATAATGGATAATTAGCTTTTGCCAGTAGTAGTGAGGACAATACGGTTTTTTTGCTCGTTAACGAAACTTAGTGAGCGGGGGGGGGGGGGGGGGGGGGGAGGGGTGGGATTTCGAAAGGGGAGATTGAGCTGCAAAAAAGAGGCACAAACTACCCCTCTCTATGTGAATTCACTTTTAGAAGCACAGAAAATATAAACCATTTGTTTGCTAATTTGTGCGCTTGACTTGGAAAATAGGAATTTTGCTTTACCACAAATTTAACCAAGTAATATAATTTTAGACATATTTTGTAACATTTAAAATAAGTATTGAATACTTTCTTTAAAATTTTAAATATTACAATTGTAAAATTTGTCCTTTTCCATAAACTTTATGATAAAAGGATGTTTACATGAATAAATTTATCTTGGAAATAATTGCCAACCACATTTATCATACCAAACCTTTTGTTGTATATAAAAAGATTTCTTTCTTTCTTTTTTCCAATTTAATTTTAAATTAAAATATTTAAGGAAGATCCTTTAGCCCTTTGCGATAAATAATTTGTTCAGTAGTTATCTAACTTGGACAATACAGTTCAAAGATTAATATTAATGTAAATGCTAAAAGTGCCATATATATATTTTCAACTTACAAATGTAATTATTTTTGAAAAGATATTTTCCAAGTACATCGTCTATAAAATATGCCATTGAAATATACATAAAGTCTTTTCCAAATACGGTCCCCACAATAATTTAGGTAATAGTTAAGTGAGATTTGCTAAGTTAAAAGATTTAGTTGGGTTGAAAGCCTTGCAAGTTAGCTAAAGCAGGCTCAATGCAATTTAAACTTGTGCAGTTTTGTGTAATCAAGCTTGGAGATAATTGAAATAAGTGATCGCACAGCTGCAAGAGTATTTAAATCCCCGTTTACGAGACCTATGGACAGGTGCCTAGATGTCAAGAGATCTAATCTCAGATAGAAATGAACACGACGATGGTAAAGCCAAAGATGAGCAAATTTTAACTAAAATTCCAGAAATATTATTAATTTTCTCAAAAGACATCTGAAACCTCAATGTCAGCCATGGTAATCACAACTTTTAATGATCTGTATCGTTTTTTTCCATGTCATATTTGTAATACAACCATTGCCTCTCCAGTGTATAAGAAGCAGTCTCAGCGTCCGGCCATTCTTGAAAATGTGTTTTTCCTCATTATTACAAAGGGTCTCTTATTATAGCCAACTTAAAGTGATTTCGAATACCTCGAGGAGCTGCGTTATCCAAAGAGCTTCCTTAGTGGTAAACCCTCCCCCTCCCCCCCCNGGAAAACCCCCCCCCCCCCCCCCCCCCCCACCCCACCCCAAGATTGAGTTTTAGCATAAAAATCTTGCTTTTTGATTGGCATAAAATTCTCCATTGTTCTCATTACTCGTAACTTCCTTGAAGTCATCAGGTAATAAATGAACAACAAGATACATCCACGCACGCTCTCACACTTGAGACAAAAAAGTCAATCACTCAAGTTACTGAAATAGTCATTGTAGTGCTTGATCCTTTGCAGTCTCAAATTCGATTCTAATTTCTCAGGTTTGCGGAACTTCATATCAAGAGAATTCGTGCAAGGTCAGGCATATGCAACCTCGCCAATTCTGAGCAACCATTTATAGAAATTAAAACAAAACTTTGGCACTAACAGAAAGAATGTCAATCTTCAAAGTTAAGCACTTAATTTCTGAATTTCATAGGTCTTATTAAAAATAATGAAAATTTTATTTGAAATATCAATGAGAAACTGCTCGTTTTAAATCAATAAAAAATTTTATTTATTTATAATTTCAAAATATGGTATATAATATAAGTTCCCCCACCGTTTGTCCTTGTAGTTTTCAATAACCCTTTTGAAAACACTTTAAGTTTACTAATAAGGGGTGCGCGATAGACTTACCTCCATGTGGTGCATCCTGGGCAATGTATACTTATGCGGCGAAAAAGTCTATTAACCGGCAGTTGACTTCTCACTTCAAATTACCATCACCCCACAATATGTCATATTTGACTACTTCCACAGTACTCACCTCACATTTTTTCTACCCTTGTGACTGTCTCTTTTAAATCTTTGAAACACTCTTCTCTTCCCCACCCCCCTCTCTCTCCCTCTCGACTTTTTCCCCTCGATGTTCCTTCCTCTCTGTGAAGCCTAAAGTCAACTATCAAACTATCAAAACGCCTGCCATTCGATATAAATAAATAAAGTTTACTAATAAGAACCCACATTCACGTGATGTTTCGACTTCAGTAGCAGTTCGAAATCATTTCTCCCTAAGAGCATGCTCCGCAGACCTAAAAAGGTGGTAATGGGACGGGCGGAGATCTGACAAAAATAGAGGATGTGGTGGAACCTCCTAATTTGATTCCTAAATTTTTGAAAGGTCTTTCATGCTTTGTGTGCCCGCAGTGCCATACCAAGAAATTTAATATGATATTCAGTTAATAATAATAATATTCAGTTAACTAAGAACTTTGCCAATTATTTCCTTGTTTAGTCTCCTAATTTTTGAAAAAATAATCTTTAGTATTAACTGTTGGGCGAGATTTTAACAACTCGCAATACATTTTTCAGGAATGCATTCCACCAAATGTGAGGCAGAGATTCACAGAGGATCAACCCTGGCTTGGATTAGGGGATGGAATGGACGCTTGAGTTGGAGATAATCATAAATTTTCATGAATAACGTTGTCGCAAACGCTTCATATCTGTAGTGTAAAAGGACGATGTGAGCATTTCCCCACTCATTTTGGGCTTTTGGAAGAGTGGATTTGAGGGCACCCAAATTCCTATCCTATTTAACTTGCCGAAGCTCTTTAAGTGCTATTGTTCAGTTGACCATGGAAGTGCGATTCTCTGAAATAACATATCATGGTTGATCGAGTATCTAATTCATCAGGGATTTCAATGCGTCACCATTAAGGCGTATAAGTCTTTCTGATTTTGGGGCAACATTTAAATTACCATTGCCAAATTTAAACGTTTTAACCGAAATGCAAATAAGTGAACTTGAAAATAAATTTCAATAATGGCTTTAGTTCAAGCCCCGATGAAAGTGAAGCAGTATGGAATGTCTTTCTGACGTATTCTCTGTCTGTTTTGTGGGTAAAAAATTTCATCATTGAAAATTAAATGATATTTATACCTCATATATTATGTTAAGCACTTTGTCAATTACGAGGGGAACTTTCAGAGCTGTTTCCTGCACCTTGTCTAGATAAGAACAGAAAACAACAACCCATTTTATTTCAAATGGCGGGCTTTATGAAACTTATCATTAGCCCTTTAGCTAACTTCAAGCTTCACGGAGGAGAAAAACATCAAAGTGAGTAAAAGTGGAGGGGGAGGGGGAACAGAAGAGTGATTCAAAGATGTAAAAGAGACAGACAGACACAAAGGTAGAAAAAAGGTAAGATGAGTACTGCGGAAGGGGTCTAATATGACATACAGTGGAATGATGGCAGTTTAAAGTCAGAAGTCAACTGCCAGTTAATGAACTTTTTTGTCGTATGAGAATAGGTTGTCCAGAGTGCACCACGTGGAGGTAAGTCTATCGCACACCCCACAATCTATTTTTATGATACTCAATTCCTTAATGTCACCCCGTATTGTTGATTAATCCTAGTATCAGGAGCAATGGTGAACTACCTCCAAGCGGCAAACAATGAAAATAAAAAATATTGGATAGTTATGAGAATGCCATCACGTATTAGTTGGTTTGGATCTAATTGAGTAATTAGTAATTTGCTTTAATTTATCCATCCATTTCAAGATTTCCGCACTTATTCAGCCTCCTAAATTTGTGAAAAGTTAAAAACCTTTGGATTCCTCACAAAGGAATGAATACTTAGTACTTAAGGTCACAAACGAACGTCTTTATAGTCTCATCGAGCCTGTTTATTTAGCAGCTTTTTAATTGGCAACTTACGCGTGCACGGTAGCATTTAGGAGATATTAACGCAAACCTCGGCGGCATAGTAGCATTGACCAATCACAATCAACTTTAGGAGTACATCTTCGCACCCCATCTTCCCAACAGGCTTCATTATGCGCATCTTAAAAGGAAATTATTTGTCAACAATCGGTCTTCGTGTAAATTACGGGCTGAGGGTCTCCCAATTCTTAGCTATGTTTATTTTGCGGTATGCTCAAACATTTCTTTCCTATCCGTAATCTTATCTCAATTATGTCTCATTCAAACAAGTAATAAAACATATACCATGGCAACTATTTTATTTGCATAAAACTTCCAGTTCACGAAGTTTAAAGTTTTCTTAACTGCACGAATAACTAATCATCAATAGAATAGTCAGTGTGAGTTTATCTAAATAATAATTTTCACTATTATGGCTAATTAACTTATGAAACTTATTAGTAACTACTTTATTTGATATTATGAATATAGTGAAATATATTCCAATGTAGGTTATTTGAACGAATAATTGTTTAAGATGTATGATAATATTATTGTAATTGAGTATAAATATTGATTTTATATATAATTCAGTGGTAATAAATTATAGGCATTCGAGTAGATTCTGCAGACCAACTAGAGTACGCTTACACCAATCATAGGCAAAGATGGTGCCTCTTTAAGAGTTCCTATGATCCATTTACCATCAGGTGCCATCAAGGCCATAGGATATAAAGGTTATTTAACTCGAATTTAAGATGAAGTTTAATTTAAAAATGATGGGAGGTATCATTATATAGAGGAAATTTTCCTTTATACATGAATATTTTTGTTGGAGAATAAAGCGCATTCTAATTGCAAAGTATTTTCGAACTCTTTGAATATCCCTTCAGATTGGCTGCAGAGGCTGTAAATCTAGCAGATGAAGAGTTATCAGGTCATCTGACAAGAAATAACGACGAGAAACCACTGAAAAGGTTGCCATTCCCTCCTTCTCCACCAACCTACCTTGTGGATCCACTTATCTTCCAATTTGGTCGCAAACACAAAGATGCTAATGAGGATGTCTTTAACAGACATCAAAGACTCTTTTGTTCTAAGCGAATGCGTCTCGAAGATTCACATGAAATGAGTAGCCTTCTGGAAGGTTCAACTTCTTCCATTGAGGAATCTCAGAATGAGTTTAAACGCTTCGATCGCATGAGTCAAGTCAAGCGTTCTCGGACCACAATAAATAGGCGTTCGCCACTCAATAGCCTCTACCAAAATACAAACCACAGCTCAACCACAGCGTTTTCAAACTTCGTGAATCAGTTGATGATAAATGCTCTCAGAGATCAGCTTTTGGCTTCCCACTCCTCTTGGATTCCACCTAAAGACGAACCTCTGGATCTTTCCTGTAAGGAAACTAAATTGGGTCTACCTAATAACAACATATTCTGCAGCATTCGCAAATTAGTTGAACCCCAATTCTGCAGTTACTCTGAAGTGCGAAGACACAATACTTTCCCGTTGAGGAAACCTTTTGAAGCGCCGCACTTACTTCCCCATAATGTAGAAGTGTTAATGAACAGTGCTCCACTATTCAATGACCTCAAATCAAATTTCCTCTGGCGCTATGAGTCAAAAAGATGCGAATCTGAATGAATCGGTAAGTGGGGGAGACGATGTCAGCTGATACACTCACAACAGTGCCTAAATATCATCAAATCTTTGCAATAATTTAATATTTTATCTAGGTTGGCCTGCCATCCTTTCCGAGAATATCGAAATACTCTGGATTTAATTGAATTGGTAAACACTGTTCATTTTCCTACCACAGAGCCTTTTTTAACTGGCAATATAATTCTTATACATCGGATGAATTAATGGACCTATTTAATTACTCAATATATTTATTTTGACAATCGAATATGTGTTTTTTATTTTCGTTTATTTATGAATAATGGGAATATTATTTCATAAGTAGAAAACAGTATCGTTGTGTTATTTGCAAAACTGGCTAATATTGTAACAAATAGTCATTTTAAAATAGTACGTAGGTAAAAAGTGGTGAGAAATGTGAATTCCACCATCTTCTACATTACCAAGACTTGGCCACTCCCATTAGCCGGTCGAGTGTATGCCGATGGGAATTGAACACATGACTTCTATTGTGGAATACGCTCGTTGTGATCCATGCTTCACCGTCCCATGCTGTTGCTGCTAAATATGATGCCGGGTTCAACTTCTAAGTAGTGGGGCGTGCGATAGATTTACCTACATGTTGTGCACCCTGCTCCACGTATACTCATAAGCCAAAAAGTCTATAAACAGGCGCCGTTTGAGTATACGTTGCCCAGGTGCACCACGTGGAGGTGAGTCTATCGCGCACCCCATGCTAACTATCATAAAGCCTGCCATTTGATATAAATAAATAAACGTTTTTGCTTTAATGAGCAGTCAAATTTATTTCATTGTTCCGTTTAAATATTCTTAGTACTTGTGACATATAAAAAGTGGAAATGAAAGCGGCTTTTAATTTTCAGTTGTGAGCTGAAGGTCTTGGTGGGGGGGGGGGGGGGGGGGGGGGGGGGGGGCGGAGTGAGGTGGAGGGTGTGCTGAAGCAAATAGAACTGCTATGCTTAGAACGAAAGCGATGATAAAATCACATTAATACACCCTTATCCAATCAAAATATTTCAAATGGAAAGAGTGAGGGAGAGCGCGCGTAGAGGTTTTGTATTTTCCCCAAATTAATTATTTCATCACAGGGGATTTGTACTTCGCTTTCTTACTTTCAAAAAGTTGAATTTTTCTTCTAAATGTCTTCACATAGCTTTAACAAATAAAAAACGCCCTATCACTCTGTTTCTTAAAATTTGTTCAGGAGTGCAAGGTCTTTTAAATGGATATGCATCAACGACCACAAAGTGGTTGCAATATTAAGTAACTCCAAATTTTTTTGCCAATTGTGGCGAAATTCATTGAGCGTTGTCACATGCGTTCTGTTGAAATATTATCGCTATCACCCATGGCTTACAGAATTTTTCGTTATTATCAACATGAGGAGGTGTCTCTGGAATAGTACCTAACTACGGTACTTCCGAGTCAAGTGATTTAGGTTATTATCATTTAGATTTGGTGCCATCTGGTTGGTATTAGATCTCTGTTTCATAAAATCTCCTTTAAAATTAATTTATTTTAAATGGCAGGCTTTATGATATTTATCAAATATCCCTTAAACTTTGAATTCAGCTTCCCCCAAGAAGGGGGGGGGGGGTACATTTATAGCAGCTTATTAATAGCAATTACATTTATAGCAGTTCATTAATAGCAATTCATTAGCTGTCTTCTTGCTTCTTACATTTATAGCGGTTAATTAATAGCAGTTCATTAGCAGTCTTCTTGCTTCCCCGTACTCTGGTTTTCCGTCGTTGTCTTTAGGGCAGGACACCGAATCAGGTGGGTCTTTATAGCAGTTAATTATAGAAATTCATTAGCTGTCTTCTTCGTTCATGAAGGGGGGTACATTTATAGCAGTTAATTAATAGCAGTTCATTTAGCTGTCTTCTTGCTTCCCAGTATCTCTGGCTTAATTACATTTATAGCAGTTCATTAATAGCAATTCATTAGCTGTCTTCTTGCTTCTTACATTTATAGCGGTTAATTAATAGCAGTTCATTAGCAGTCTTCTTGCTTCCCCGTACTCTGCTTTCAGCTCATTAGCTGTCTTCTTGCTTCCCAGTATCTCTGGCTTTCTTGCTTGTCTTTAGAGCTGGACACCGAATCAGGTGGGTCTTCCTTGTCTTTAGGGCTGGACACCGAATCAGGTGGGTCTTCTCCTTGTCTTTAGGGCTGGACACCGAATCAGGTGGGTCTTCCTGTCTTTAGGGCTGGACACCGAATCAGGTGGGTCTTCTGTGTCTTTAGGGCTGGACACCGAATCAGGTGGGTCTTCTCGTTTCCTCATGTAGGTTACATAGAGGGCATGTGGGTTGAGTTTAGGTTACATAGAGGGCATGTGGGTTGAGTGTATACTCCCAGGCTACATAGAGGGCATGTGGGTTGAGTGTATTCTCCCAATATACCGAATCAGGTGGGTCTTCTCCATTTCCTCCTCTACGTTACATAGAGGGCATGTGGGTTGAGTGTATACTCCCGGGACACCGAATCAGGTGGGTCTTCTCCATTTCCTCTTGAAGGTTACATAGGGGGCATGTGGGTTGAGTGTATACTCCCAAGGCTACATAGAGGGCATGTGGGTTGAGTGTATTCTCCCAATAGTAGGTTACATTGGGGGCATGTGGGTTGAGTGTATACTCCCAATCTGTGAAGAGGGGGCTGGTTGAGTGTATACCCCTATTCTGTGAAGGCGTTTTGCCAGGCAATCGTGTCCGGTCAGTGTGTCTTCTCCATTTCCTCATGCAGGTTACATAGGGGGCATGGCTTCTCCATTTCCTCATGTAGGTTACATAGAGGGCATGTGAGGCTCCTGTAGGTTACATAGAGGGTATGTGGGTTGAGTGTATACCATTTCCTCCTGTAGGTTACATAGAGGGGATGTGGGTTGAGTGTATACTCTTAGGTTACATAGAGGGCATGTGGGTTGAGTGTATACTCCCAGGCTACATAGGGGGCATGTGGGTTGAGTGTATACTCCCAATCCAGAGGGCATGTGGGTTGAGTGTATACTCCCAGTCTGTGAAAGGGCATATGGGTTGAGTGTATACTCCCAATCTGTGAAGGGGGCATGTGGGTTGAGTGTATACTCCCAATCTGTGAAGGTCCATGTGGGTTGAGTGTATACTCCCAATCTGTGAAGGTGTACATGTGAGTTGAGTGTATACTCCCAATCTGTGAAGGTGTTCTTTAAAACTAAACATAAATGCTAGGATTGATATGCTAATCTTGGATGAATACTTTAAGCTTCTCTCATGATTTCATACCTCATCCCTTAATTAATTAATTCGTTATCGATATTAAAATTATATAGCCAGCATCAAGCTGTGACGTGATCTTCCCCCCCCCC